TGCCAGGAGCTGAAGGGGCTCCAGGGAAGCTGCAGAGGGACTCTGGGTTAGGAACTGTAGGGACAGGAAAAGGAGGAATGGGGAGAAATTGAAAGAGACAAATTTAGATTGGATATTAAAACGATTTTCCCTGTGAGGGTGGTGAGACAGTGGCACAGGTTGCCCAGGGAGGCTGTGGCTGCCCCAACTCTCAGTATTCATTCCAGGTTGGATGAAGCCTTGAGCAACCTTCTCTGGTGGGAGATGTCCCTGCCCAGGGCAGGGGGTTGGGGCTGGATCACCACTAAGCTCCATTCCAGCCCTTTAACATACTCTGAAACACACTGTGACCTGTGTGGTTCCTGCCTGGATCCTCACTTTTAGCTGGAGGATCCCCTGGATCCACCATTGGAATGCAGCAGGGCAGTGAGGAGGTCTTAGGAGTCCTTCTGGTCTATCCCTCGGGCTGCTCCTTGTGGGACTGGGACTGAATCACTTTGGGACTTGCTCGTGGATTGGAAGGGGCAGGAGAGTTTGAGGCTGATGTTTGTGGTGAGCTGTGCTGCCCTCCTGGTGCTGCAGCTGTGTCTCTGCTTCCCAGATTGCCAAGCTGAAGCAGCAGCTCCAGCGCACGAAGCTCAGTGGGAAAAGTGGGAAAGACAAGGAGAAGAGCTGTCCATTCCCAGGGGATCACACAGTCATTGCATCACTCCAGGTACATCACATCTTCCCCTGCTCCCTGTCACTGTGCATCCTAGTGAGGGGACAGCAAATCCCTCTGGGCAGGTGCCCAGACCTCCTGGGATTTGCTTTTCTCATGCCTGAGGAGGGAGAGGTTTTCCCTTCTCCCACCTGTCCAGCCTGTCCCTGGGCTGTGATCCAGAGTCAGGAGTTCACATGACTCTGCTGTCAGGATTCCCCTCTCAGCTTCCTGGAAGGCTTCAGCCAAGCCCTGGAGAGCTGTGGGAACAGGATATAACTGCTGAGGTTGTGCAGATGCAGCTCTAACTCCTTGGATTCTGGATTCTTGCAGGACTCTCCTTCAGGCTTCCCTTCTCCATCTCCTGTTCTGAGGCTCAGCCCCTGCTTGCACAGGAGTCTGGAAGGCCTAAACCAGGAACTGGAGGAAGCATTTGTGAAGGAACAGGGAGATGAGGAGCTGCTGAGGGTGAGTGAAGTCACACGATTGCCTGGAACCTTCTGGATGGTCTTGGAAGTCCTTTTCCCTAAAGACTCTGCCTGTTTCCTGGCCACTGGTGCTATGAGACATCCAGTCAGTAGCTGTGTTGGGATAGATGACACCTCCCTGCCAGCTCTAGGACCCTTAGAGTGGCATCCAAAGGCTCTGTGGGTGTGGGATAAGGGATCCTGGATGGCTTGGGAACACCTGTATGGCAGGATGGGGAAGGGCTGCAGAAGGCTGTGCTGCTCCCTGGATCCATCCCTAGAACCACCACCAGGTTAAATCTGTCCCTGGTGCCAGGAATTCCTTTCCTCTAAGCCTTTGCTCTCTCCCCAGATCCTGGATGTCCCGGATGGGCACAGGGCGCCGGCGCCTGCCCAGGGAGGCTCCATGGATGCATCCCTGGCCCTGGAGCCTGGCAGTGGCAGG